AAAAAAAAAAGCACCCTAATACATACATACATATGTAAACGAATATGTGCTTTCTTTTTTTATTAAATAAAAAGTGCATTGTTTTTCATTATAATTGTATACATGTAATTAATAAAAACGCATATTTTGAAACTGTAGTTTTTTTATGTAAAAACATAAATACATGCATATATAAGAGCAGGCAAAATCGCAGATGCTAAGCCAAAAACAAGACAAAAAAGGAAACATATCACACTTCAATTAGGTAATCAGGCCATAAGCACATCTGCGCTTTTGTTTTTAACCGACTTCCAAAAAAAAGGAGGAGGTTATCAGTTCGTCGGATTTTTTTTTTTTTTTTTTTTTATGTATGTTACCGCATAACTTTGCACCAGGTCAACCGATTTCAATAATTCTTTTTGCAACGGAAAGGTAGTGTCTCAGAGGTGGTCCCATACTTAGTTTAGATCCGATCATTGGATCATGAAATATATAGATATATAGATATTTTTTTTAAGTCGGTTTTTTTTTTTGCTAAAAATTACTTGTTGTAAAACACTTCAGCATAGGAAGTGCGCGCTCACACATGTACATGTGTATGCAGTGGCGGCGCCGATGGGGGCGAGGACTATTTGTAAAATAATTTATTCGTATTGATAACATCACTTTTATTTTCATCGCTCTGAGAATTGAAGTGCTGCGAAAAATGTATCACTCACATTATATGGGAGTTTCCTGAAAAATGTCAACCAAAAGCAAAAAAATAAAATTACAACCAGGTAAAAGTTTTTGAGGCCGTTATATTGGCGAATTTTTCAATTATCTCCTGCTAAAATTTGAAGCGAATTGGTTCACAGGGTCTTAAAAAATTAAAATTTTTTCGACTTCCATCTATAACTTTTTTGTGTTGAGTAATTATAACTTCCGAAACTCATCTACTATTTTGCTATATAAGTAAAAGGAAAATAATAACCTATGTAAACTTCCTTGCGACAAAATTGCGATATTGCCATAGTATTTGAGCTGGCAATCATTGCAAAGTCAAAATCGCAAAACACATGTTGTTTTATTGTATTCGAATACTTCAAGAAAAAGTATATCTCCTTTTTGGTTGTTGTTGTTTCCGACAGGGTGGGTGTATGATGCACAACGCCGAAACCGGTTTGTCTCCAAACCAAATTTGACAAGGGATGACGGAAATTCGTTCCAAAATACATCAAAAAGTATATCAGTTAAGGCTGCTTCGAAATATAATTGTAACAATTTTTTCTTTTTCTCTAACGCGCGGCATTTGTTAAAAATGAGTTATGATAGGTCGTTCATACATATATGTTCTTTCATGTAAAGATACACTCAGGTGTGTTTCAAATATTGGATTCATCAAATAATAAAAACACAGCTGAGAGGGCTAAGAGGTGGAAACAAAACCTAAAGAATGAGCATTCAAAAAGAGAATATATTTACAGAAAAAACATTTAAAAAGTCTTTCTTGCGGAATAATAAGTTGATAGAGATGTATGTAGGTATAATTTAGAGAAGAATAAAACAAGGAAATCATTTTGTTAAGCCCTTAAAAAAGTAGAGCAGGAAATACCCAGATCATTTTAAAATGCTTGCAAATTTCAGAAAAAAATCATGGCTGACGAATTGAGATAATTATTTTGCCTTCTAATGTTTTTATCATGGGTGCAAATGTATTTTTTTTGCCCTTTTTTACCTTCCTTTTATTAACTCGGGATGTAAGTATGTAATATTGATGCGCCTAAAAGATGCAGCGATTTCTATTCTCAAGTTACATGCCTGATGACAGTACGAATTGCAATTATAATAAGGAGGTTTTAGTTTTTTAAACTATAATTTTATTAATATCAAAGTATAAGTTTCTGGATATTTTTTTACTGGAGAATACTAAAACAGAGCAATGGTATCGAAGGGAAATGTTCTCTCGCTACTACATATGTACATTAGACTGCATCACAAAAAAAAATTGCCGTTTTTCCGCCGGAATTACAAAATTTATTATATTTTAAGACGTCCACCAAAATATTTCGGTAAAATATTAAGATTTAAGCGAGCTGGACCGATTTGGAAGTACCTCCAAAAAACGGAGTTTTTTGTGAATAAAAATAGTTTTTTAAAGAACTTTTTGAAAAAAGTCCCCTCAGATGACAAAACAGATTGGGGTTGAAAAATCTGCATAAAAATATTTAAAAATCCTTTCAACGGAATCGTGATAATGAGATTTTTGATGCTTTTTCTTACTTTTTTCAAAGATTGATTTACGAAAAACTTAAATAACTGTGCAAAAACTATTCTGATTTAGACTTATGGGATCTCGGTAGAAAGGTATTTTCCCACCATTTTCATTTATGTGCAAAAAAAGGTCATTAGTGTCTCAATATTTTTTTTACAAATACCAACACATCTTAATTCTTCTTTGAATGATGTTCGTTCATCCTACCTTTCTGTTTCATTCTTTGAATGAGCTTACTAGCAAAGAAATAGAAAGGGTGAGAAAATACCTTTCCAATGATACCTCACAAGTCTAAATCGGAAGAGTTTAGGTTCAGTTATTTAAGTTTTTCTTATACCAATCTTTGAAAAAAGTAAAAAACAGCATCAAAAATCTCATTACTACGATTCCGTTCAAATTTTTTTCATATTTTTTTTAAATATTTTTATGCACATTTTTTAAGCTTAAACCGTTTTGTAATTTAAGGGGATTTTTTTAAAAAACATCTTTAAGAAACAATTTTTATTCATAAAAAACCATGATTCAATAATTAAAGGTTTGCTCGTTATTGACATTAGACTTTTGACACTCCTTTGCTCACACTTGCTCACACACACGAACCCACACACAATGCTTTGCTAAGGGAGCCGATTTTGTCAAGAGGGAGCGAGAAAACTGCTTTTTGAGCAAACCTTTTATTATTGAATCATGATAAAAAACTACATTTTTGGAGGTATTTTCAAATCGGTCCAGCTCGCTTAAATCTTAATATTTTTCCGAAATATTTTGGTGCACGTCTTAAAATATAATAGATTTTATAACTCCAAGGGAAAAGAGAGGCAGTCTAATGTACTTTTATCTATTTTTAGGTACAATTTTTTCATAGACACCACTTTAAAATTTAATTTTCCGTCCCTGTTGCTTACAAACATAACAACTAAACTGTCCCGAACTAAAATCGATTAAGAGATAGGGGACTCTGGTTAAAAGAGAAATGAAATTAACACAAAAAGTGTGCAAATGCATTTAAAGACATTAAAATCAAGTGGTCTTCAGCAGTTGTGAGGGTGTTCGACTTTACCTTAAAACTCCAATTAAAAGGGTTATCGATTTTTTTTTATCTACGCAGTCCTTTTGACGACTCTTACAGCTGAGCTCCATATAAGAAGAATAATTTTACATGTGGAAAATTCTATATTTTTGGTGCATAAATGTTTTTTTTTTATATGAAATCGAACATTTGAATTTTCGTATTATAAATTAATCTTATAATCTATGTTTTTTAAAAATTGAACTTTTGAACATGTAAATATATCCACTTATAATTTAATTATTGTGAACTTGCCTTTTAATCTAGTTATTATTATTGTCCTGAAAAGATCGAGTTGAGCGCACAGTAAATCACTGCATTAAATTATCATCGAGTCATCAGTGTCGAAGTCAAAAAGTCACCCCACTGCAAGTCAGAAGCCTTTTTATCTGCCACCATTGCCGTTGTTGCTCTTATTAGCGTTCAGTGTAAGTGCGGACGATTTCGTTATTTTAAAAATTTGCGTCCACAAACGGGTGTTTGTTTTGTGTAAACTATCTGAGTGTTTATCCGCCGATATATACGTCGGCGGCGAAGTCACTTTGTAGCAGTATCCGGCGAGCTTCACATCCACATTTAGCAGTAAGATCAGTGCTGGAGAGGGCTACGTCATTACCAGTAATCGCGGTGTAATTGTGTGGTAAACACAAAGCAAACGATTTCTTATCTCTTCGGCCTTGCAGAAAAGCATCGAAAATTAATAAATTAACAACTATGGCACCTGTGCGGGGGGACGGCATGAGAGGCCTGGCGGTTTTTATATCGGATATAAGAAACTGTAAGTATGCTATAATTAATAATTAAATATTTTTATATATCTGTGGAAATAAGGAATAACAGCTAAGTCAACTTTAGTATAATGTAATCACCATTCGCAGTGTATGTATGCTGCTGAATGACTGCAAAAGCCATTTAATTGCTAGACATTGGCAAATTAATTTGAAGGAGATAATTTGGATCCCAGCAACCCTTCCACAATATTCCCATCAAGTCTTATCAGTAAATTGCTTTTAGTTCGGACAATAAAGTGAATGGCTCATTACAGTAAAGTCAGCCCTCCGAGTTTAGCTGGTATTCTTTATTGACACGATATATGTATATAAGTACGTATGAACCAGTATATATGGATAAGTTAGCCTCACTGTTCGGCCACTAGTCACTGCCGCTTGTTGCTGATTGTACACGTATGTATGTATGTACATACATAAGGGTGTCCCAGAACATAAGGAGAGATTTTTATTCTAAGATATTTTGATATGAAAAGCCAATAAATTTGTTCGCTTTGATCTGAAGACAAGACATTTGCTGCAAGAGTGTCATAATCTAAACTAATACAAAATCGTGTTAAGTATGCAGAAATGCCTCTACCTGTTCTTCTGTTTCATGTAAAAATTTCATAGCTGTAGCCTATTTTATAAAAATCATGCATTTTCTTGTGATAGTCGTTGAGCGGTACTTATTTTATTTGTGTGGTTCTTCAAATGAAGATTCCTAAGTTTTAGAACAACGTGCCACTTAACATTTCTAAAAAATCATAACTTTTTACTTAATAAAGATTTTTCGTTTAGCACCAGGCGCGCATGCAGAAATAAATTTCGAGGGATGTTTTGACTTTATTATTATATATTTTTTTATTTACCTAAAGAATAAGGTTCGACCTTCTTTTATTATTTGCCAAGGGTATATGTATTAACTTTGTTCGCATAACGGTGCTTGTAACAGCTAAAACGAATCGAGATAGATATAGACAAATGTATACATCAATTCTCAGAATGAAAAGAGAAATCGATTAAGTCATGTCTGTCTGTCCGTCCGTCCGTCCGTCTGTCCATGCACACGATAACTCGAGCAAAAATTGAGATATCTCAACGAAATTTGGTACGTAGGTTGCCCTTTATCCAAGGTAGGTTGGTATTAAAAATGGGTGAAATCGGACAGTAACCACGCCCACTTTCCATATAAAGGTATTTTCTAAAAATGCAAAAACTACGATATTTCAGTAAATATTAGATGCAAGTAGTTGAAAATTCGTACGTGAAGTGGAATTGTGGTAAAAAATAATATTATTATGAAATTTTTAGAAAATGGGCGTGACCCCGCCCACTTATGATGAAATGCTGTATCTCGGTAGGCGTTTCACCAATCCTTATCAAACTCCGTACGAGCCTTGGGTAGGGTCTGCTGTAGCTAATTCACTTAAAATCGATGACTGCAATAGAAGAAAACTAGAATATTATAAATTTTTGGACAATGGGCGTGGCACCGCCACTTATGACCACAAATGTGTATCTCGGTAACCGATTTATCAATTTCTACCGAACTCGGTGCACTTAATAACCTTGGTACGGAAAAGCAATTTGTTGAAAATTATACAAATCGGACTAAAATTAAACCCGCTTCCCGAATAACGGTGAATTTCAGAAATACGAAAACTCCGATATTTCAATAACTGAGGACGCTAATTTACTCCAAGTTAATAGTTACAACAATCCCCTAACAATAAATAAAACTGCTATAGACTTTGAGGAGTTGGACCTGGCACCGCCCACTTTGTGACTACAAAGGTGTATTCCGGTAACCATTTTACCGATTTGTGCCTAACTTGGTTCAATTATATCATTAAGTCTAACTGCATATTATCGAAAACGTTTGAAATCGAGTAAACACCACCCCTACTTACCATGCAAAGGTAGTTCAGAGAAAGTTGAAACGACGATATTTGATACCTCCGCGGGGTTTCGCCCGAACTTATACTTTACGTGTTTTGTAATAAAATTGTTTTTATAATTAAATTTCTTTTTAATTAATAAAAAAAATTCATTTTACATTTTTTTGTTTAATACTTTTGGTTGTTTTTAAAAGAGAAATATATGTTTTTTTATAATAAAAAAAAAAAAATTAAAAGGCGAACAGCATAATGTTAAGCATATCTTTCAGTTAGTCTTTCGAAATACAGTAAAGAGCTTTTAAGATAGTTGCCAGAATAGACTTTTGTCTTTCGAAAGACTGTGGTGAGGTGAAAGGCAGTTTCCAGAAGAAAAATTTAAAACTACTCCTCTACTCCGCTTGACTTCAAATCTATTCAGTTTTTTCACTCATGTTCTGCCCTTCTTGGGCCCGTTTTTTCAGTGTTCACCCCCGGGTTTCAAAACAAAGTTAAGCAAAATCTCACTGATAGAAAGAAACTGGTTAATAAAAATTTGTCAACAAGGTAACTTCGTTATTTTTTGATACATATATGGATGTAGAACTTGGTGGATGCACAACTTCGTTTAAGTTGTTAAAAATTATATGTAAAAAGAAATTTATATAAACTAGAAAAGGTTTAGGTCCTATTGCTTTTTAAAAAGGGTCTATTATATATATTCTACTTAATAGAAAATACTACAAATTTCCTAAATATGTAACATATTATCCTTACATTGAATCATGTTCTTATTTTTGCGTGAATAGAAAATATTTAAGTCATACAATTAATGTCGATGCTGTTTTATAGACCTCAAACCGGAGTGTAGATAGCAATAATTAGCGATGAGGTTAAGTTCGATTTGAGATGGTTAACTTTTTCGTTGGAACATGGTATTAAATTATTAAACTAAGGTTAAGTTATTTTAACTTGTCGATAAGTACTGTTGCTGTTGTACTGTGATGAGGTTAAGTTCGATTTGAGATGGTTAACTTTTTCGTTGGAACATGGTATTAAATTATTAAACTAAGGTTAAGTTATTTTAACTTGTCGATAAGTACTGTTGCCACACCGCTTCCAGTAGTATCATTATCAGGAACAAAGCATAAAAAATCTTCCCCAGTTTCTGCTCATTTTCAAAATAATCGACATACCGAATAGAAATTGAAAATTGCTTAATGCCACACTAAGAAAAAAGTAACATGGTTTTTTCAAACAGCGAAATTTTTGGTTTTTCTATGTTAGCGATTCGAAGTTTTTGAACAGAAAAAGTATTTTTTAAACAAACTTAGGGCCAATTTCAAATTAATTTTAAACGGCACTTAAGTGTAATTTTGGAGATGGGCAAAATACGTGATTTTCTACGTGACACGTCGTGTCACGCTTTTTTCACGCGTGAGCGGCTTTCAGTGAAGAATCACGTAATATCCGTGATCGTGCGTGACTGAAATTTTTGCGTGCGTGAGTTAGATTTTCGTCAATCACGTGATTTTGACATATGTATGTACAGTGGTGGTCAAAAATGGATGAATGGTGTTCAGTTTTTAATATTTACAATGTTTTTCAAGATATAATTTTTTTGATTTTTTTTTATAAAAACATGGTTCATGCTTAAACAAAAACTATATAAATCACACTTTCGAACTTTATACAGAACTTAGAAAAATTCCAAATTTTTGTATCTATATTTCGAGCTTTACCAGAATTTTTAGAAATTTTTTGGGTATGCAGTTAACAAGCTTATAAAATTCTAGTAAAATGAGTGCAAGTTTTGAGCGGCTATCAAATCGCATTGATTTTAAAATTTTTTTTTTTGCTGACGGCTTTTGTTTTTTTCCATATAAACATGAATTTCTTGTGGGAGAATATGAATGGATATACTTCAAAAAAGCTTGTAGCCTATTTTAAACATACTGAACTCAATATCAAACTGTCAAAGTATTTAAAGCAACATGTTAAAACACGGTGGAACTCCTTATTTAAAATGCTGTCCAGCATTCACGAAATGCGGCAAGCAGTTCAACAATTATTATTAGAAATAAATGAGCTTCATAAACTATCTAGAGTAAATTCAAATTTATTGGAAAAATTGGTAGAATTTCTGGCGCCTTCCAACCATCCATGAGCACGTTCTGTGGTACAAAAAACTACAAAAGCATTGTTAGGCGAATGCATCTGATTCTGAAATCATTATCGATTTGAAAAAAAAGGATCAGTCCAGCGCCTTCGTCTTGACCTGCAGGCTGTGTCGGAGTCACAGCCGCTAAACTTAAACGTAGAATACGTGATATTATTAAGATCACATTCAAGTTAAAAACGATACATGAAATATTCGTTTTGGTTGTATTGAATTGAATTTAATAAATCAATTTTTAATTAGCAATAGAGAAGCAGATCTACATTAACTTCAGTCATATGTACCATCAGCTCATAAGTAGATATATGCTAATTCGATTCATATTTATTTCCTTTCATACTGCAGAAATTTGTATTACTTTTTACATTAGCCTACGTCCCCGTATTAGTATTCTTCTTCGAGTTCATGCTCGTCATCGCATTATCTTCGCCTTTGGATTTGTGCATAAGTTATATGTATATTTCATGTTCCCGATGAATAAAGTTAAATTTGATTTTTTAAATATGTGAACGCTCCTAAATACAGTTCAGAAATAAAGCCTTTTTAAATCCATTTAATTTGATACCCATATTTCAATAATTGCTTTAATTTATTAAATAATTTGAGTATACGTTTTTACCAGGTGGTAACCCCCTTTAATATTCTAAATATTTAAACTAAGAATATCTTCCCACCTTCGTTTCACGTAATATTTTAATATTTCATTTAACTCATGCATACTTTAATTTAATTTCTAATTTTGAAACAGGTGGCAACCCTATTAAAAATATTTTCAATTCACAACCTCTTTCGTCTGACATCCATATCAGGATATACATTTAAATTTTCTGCCTTTACTTAAGTCGAACTTGCTTTTTGAAACATGTGGCAACCCTCCTACGTATGTATAATTAAGAAATAAAGCCTTGTCAAAACCATTTCGATCGATAGTCATAGTGTAATAATTGATTTAACT